ATAATCGGCTTGGAGAGGGCATCAAGCCCTGCCAGTCTACCACGGGCGCAGGTACTGAAGGCCGCGGGCGCGGGCTCTTATGGACCAAATTGGCAGATTTCGACCAGGAACTCTCTGCGGTCTGGCCGTGGGCTTGCCACGGGCGCGGGTAGTTTGGAGAGCCCGCTCGTACGAGAGAGACCGCGGCCCTCTGATCACCCTTTGGGAGCAGGGGATTCGCCGCGCTTTTGCCGCGGGCGCGGGTGCTTCTGCCGCAGGCGCGGGCTAGAAGACCCGCGGGCGCGGGTGTTGCCCAGAAAGCCCGCGGAGTTTTTAATGGGTTCCGTACCCATTTTTCCGCGGGCGCGGGGTTTATTAGAGAGGGCGCGGGAATCCCGTTTTTCTTCTTTGCCTATAAATACACTTGTAATTCCTTTTTAAAGATAACTTTTAGATAATTTTCATTAGCTTAATTTTAGAGAGAGAAGTTCTTGGTATTGGATTTGTATTTCAACATTGGATCAATTGAGCTTGGATTTCTTCATTTTCAATCATTAATGTTAGTAAGATTTTCTTCTTCTAGTTCATCTCTTACTTGATTGATTTAGTTTCATCTTTGATTGTTTGTATTGCTTGGATTTGAATTGGATATTGTAGTTGATATTGCTTTCTCTTAATTTTGATTTAGAATGATGATCAATGCTAATTCTAGTGATTTTTTCTTGAGTTACACCATGATTAGTGAGTAGATTAGTTGCTAGGGAGAAGGGAAAGCATGCTTGATTGATAATTTGTGCTAGTTGATGATGTTTGATTGATTGAATTGTTGCAATTAAATTGGTTGACATAGTTTTGCATGTGATTAATTAGATTAGGAATGATCAACCTATAAGATTAATCTAGATTGCATTGCATTTCTTAATGACACGACCCATCAATTTTAGAATTGCTTTAATTGATTAAGTTTGATTGTGAATTTCCTTGATTAGCCATTCATAGTGACCCCTAGTTTGGCCTCTAGGAGATAGCTCTTGAACTCTCTTGATTGCTACTATTGTTTGTCCTTTGCAAAGCTTGAATCAAACGAAGAAATTGTCGATTAGCACGATTATTGAATTAGCATGTGGAACCAATATCCCTAGCATTTAGCTTATTGAATTACTTGATTAGTCTAATTTTGCTATCATAACACCAACCATTTTCTCACTTCAATATCCGAAATAGCTTGATTTAGGCTAAATATAACACCAACTAACTCCTTTGGGTTCGACCCTATATTTACCTATACTTGTTTTAGGTTGGTTTAGTATTTTATAAATAGTGTTTAATTTTGGGATAGGCAATTAACGACTAGTTTATTCCTCTATCAAAATGGCGCCGTTGCCGGGGAGTGAAATTCGTGCTTAGATTTAGTTGTTGAGTCTATTTCATTTTAATTAAAAAAAAATACAAAAAGATTTTGTTTCTTAAGGCTACATTTGTAGCCGTGCTACTAATATTTTCATTGAAGTTTTGCATGCATAGAGCTCGTGATCAATCCATTGTGCCTTTTGACCCGGAAATCGAAAGGACACTTTCAAGGAGAAGAATTTCTAGTCGATCCTTTAAGTTTAGTTCTTCAAGAGAAGAAGGATTTGAAGAGGAACTAGGAATGGGAGATCAACCAAGAGTTGCTTTGAAAGAATTGGGAATTCCCGGTGCGTACAAGTTTGAGAGTGGAATTGCTCCACCTACAACACCGGCGAATGACTTCGAAATTAGGCCGGCTATGATCGCTTTGATCGAAAGGAGACAATATAGCGGAGCTAAGAATGAGAGTCCTTTGAACCATCTCAAGGAGTTCGAAAAGTATTGCAACACTATCAAAGTGAACGGAGTTTCTCAAGAATTCATCCGGCTAAAGTTGTTTCCATTTTCTCTCATAGGCCGAGCCTTGGAGTGGTTGGATAAGGAGGTAAAGCCAAATTCCCTTCGAACATGGGACGAAGTCACCAAGGAATTCTTGTCCCGATTCTACCCATAAAAGAAAACAGCGGAGGCTAGAGCTTTGATTCAAGGGTTCAAGCAAAGACCTTATGAAAGCCTCTACGAAGCATGGGAGAGGTATAAAGAGTACCAATGGGAATGTCCCCACCACGGAATTCCAACCTATCAAGTCATTCAAATTTTCTATGGTGGCCTAAGTCCTCAAGGCAAATCATGCCTTGATGGGGGTGCCGGAAGTCCCATAATGAATCGGACGGAAGAGGAAGTGGTGGACATTATAGAGGACGTGGTTAAGTACTATAGAGATTGGCAAGATGGTGAAAGGGATTCAACTAGCAAGAGTAGCTCTTTGGTGTACTCTATAGACCATCTAAATGCGATCAACAAATTATCCTCACAAATGACAAACTTGGGGAAAGAAATGATCGCGATCAAGGCCAAGTTAGAAGGCTCATTTTCTTCTCAAGCTTCGAATTCTCACTCCCAATTTAAGGGGAGAGGTACCTTTTCTAACTCTCAACCCCCTCCCTCTTCAAATAACATGCCTAGTGGTTGCTTGTTTTGTGATGCATGTGGATCCTATGATCATGACTCTTGTAATTGCCCTCATGCTTCTCCGGAATGTGGTGATGATTTTGATAATAGTGAGAGTGAGCATTTGAATTATGTGTCAAATAATAATGTGAAAAGGTTTGATAATCAAAGAGGTCAATGGAATAGGAATTACCAAAACCAAGGTAATTTTGACAACTATAACCAAGGTGGTGGTTATAGGAACCAAGGGAACCAAAGTTCTTGTGGCAATATAACAATCAAGGTTATAGTAGTCAAAATCAAAACCAAAAAATTATGGTAATCAAAAACAAATCTATGGAAATCATAACCAAGGTAGTGGAAACCATAATCAAGGTTATGGTCAAAATCAAAATAGGGGTAATTGGAACAATCAAGGTAGGGGCAATTTTCAAAATAATTCTCAAAGAGGTCCCCCACCCGGATTTGTTCCAAAGACTCAAGGTGAAAATTCCTATTCACAATCTTCTTCTTCTAGGACCAATTTGGAGGAAATAATTGAAAATCAAACCAAGTTGTTGAACACATATATGGCCGTTAGTGACAAGAAGTTCAATTAAATGATGACCCACAACAAAATGCTCGAAAACCAAATTTCTCAACTTGCTAGTGCTTTTAAAGACCAAGAAAGCCCTTCTTCTTTACCTTCCCAAGGCCTAGATCCCAAGAAACCCGTGAATGCTATTGTTACAAGGAGTGGTAAGGTTCTTGAGGAGAGATTGCCAAGGAGGAGTGATAACAAGGAGGTCCCCAAGGAAGTTTTGGTTGAGAATGAGGGAAGTAGAGCATCTTTAGATGAGGTTTTGGTTGAGACACCAAGAGAGGTGAAAGTAGAGAAAGAGATTGTGAAACCCAAGCTCCCTTATCTCCAAAAATTCATGAGATACAAGTTGGATGAGCAATTTGGGAGATTTATTGATATGCTCAAACAACTTCACCTTTCTCTACCTTTCACCGATGTGATCAACCAAATGCCTAATTATGCCAAATTCCTCAAAGACATTTTTAGCGGAAAGAGGACTTGTGATGTTGTGGAGACAATCAATTTGACTGAAAATTGTAGTGCAATCATCATGAACAAAATGCCACCCAAGTTGAAAGGCCCTGGAAACTTTTCCATCCCTTGTTCTATTAACAAGATGCAATTTGATAATGCCTTATGTGACTTAGGAGCTAGTGTAAGATTAATTCCATATTTGGTTTCTCAAAGACTTGATCTAGGGGAACTCTTACCTTCTAACATTACCTTGCAACTAGCCTATAGGTCAATCAAGTTTCCAAAAGGTAAAGTGGAAGATGTTCCATTGAGGGTTGGGAAGTTTGTGTTCCCGGTGGATTTTGTTGTTTTAGAAATGGATGAAGATGCTACCATTCCAATTATTCTAGGTAGACCCTTTCTTGCTACCTCGGGTGCTATGATATATGTAAAGTGTGCAAAGATTTCCCTTAAGGTAGGAGATGAGGTCATAGAATTCGATTTGAATGAAAGCATGAAATATCCAAGTTCTTCTCTTGAAAATTGCATGATGATTGACTCTCTTGATCATGTTGTGTCTTCCATGCATGAGCACTTGCTCACCTCTAACGATGCTCTTGAGAATGTTTTGTTGAACAAAGACAAGCTAGGTGTACCGTGCAAGGAGGTAGCGTTATATGAGGAATTGCTTAATGGAAGCATGGAGGAAGTGGATGAACAATTGTGCTTGAAGATATCAAGCCATGAAGCTTTGCAAGCGGCCGCAACAAAAGAAGGTAAAGGTGTGCCTATGGTAGAGCTCAAACCTCTACTATCGCACCTTAGGTATGACTTCTTAGGCCCAAATTCCACTTACCCCGTAATTGTTAGTGCATCCTTGAGCGAGTGCCAAGCTCAAGCGTTATGTTGTGTCTTGAGAAAGCACCAAGGTGCTTTGGGCTATACTATCGATGATCTTAAAGGTATAAGCCCCGCTTTGTGTACGCACCACATAACGCTTGAGGAAGGCACCCTTCCTTCTATTGAACGACAAATAAAGCTACTTCCTCAAATGGGAGAGGTGGTGAAAAAAGAGATCACCAAGCTCTTGGATGCGAGAATCATATTCCCCATCTCAAGCTCTAGGTGGGTTTCTCCCGTTCATGTCATTCCTAAGAAGGGGGATATCACGGTAGTCAAGAATGAGAGTGGTGAGCTCATTCCAACTAGAACGGTCACCGGTTAGAGGATGTGTATAGACTATAGAAGTCTAAATACATCCACCAAAAAGGATCACTTTCCCCTTCCATTAATTGATCAAATGTTAGATAGACTAACAAGGCACAAGTTCTATTGCTTCCTTGATGGCTATTCGGGATTTTTCCAAATTCCAATCCACCCCGAAGATCAAGAGAAGACAACATTTACATGCCCCTATGGGACCTTTGCCTATAGGAGAATTCCCTTTGGCCTTTGTAATGCCCCCGCAACTTTCCAAAGGTGCATGATGAGCATTTTTGGAGACATGTTGGAGGAAGAAATGGAGGTATTTATGGATGATTTCTCCGTAGGTGGGGTTTCATTTGAAGAGTGCCTAGTTAATCTTGAGAAATGTTTGGCTCGGTGTGTAAAGGTTAATCTTGTCTTGAATTGGGAGAAATGCCATTTCATGGTGGAGGAAGGGATAGTGCTTGGTTATAAGATCTCTCATAAAGGAATAGAGGTGGATAAGGCCAAAATTGAGGTTATTGATAAGCTTCCACCTCCGGTGAATGTCAAGGGAGTGAGATCATTTTTGGGTCATGCAGGTTTATATAGAAGATTCATCAAGGATTTCTCACTCATTGCCAAGCCCCTTAATGATCTTCTTCAAAAAGATGTTGAGTTCGTTTTTGATGATATATGCTTGGAAGCGTTTAATAGATTGAAGAAGGCCCTAATCTCTACCCCCATTGTTCAAGCCCCAAGATGGGATTTACCCTTTGAATTGATGTGTGATGCTAGTGATTGGGCAATTTGAGGTGTTTTGGGACAACGTGTGGACAAGAAGCTTTATGTGATTTACTATATGTCCAAGACACTAAATGGGGCCCAAAAGAATTACACAACAATGGAAAAAGAATTCTTGGCCATTGTTCACTCTTTCGAGAAATTCCGGTGTTATTTGTTGGGTTCCAAGACCATTGTCTTCACGGATCATGCGGCTCTCAAGTATCTCTTTGCCAAGAAAGAGTCCAAGCCAAGGTTGATTCGTTGGGTGCTTGAATTACAAAATTTTGAAATAGAGATTAGGGATAAGAAGGGTGCGGAAAATGTTGTGGCGGACCATCTTTCTTACCTTGAGGGTGATCAAATTCATGATGATGGTCTACCAATTGAAGATAGAATGCTTGATCATGTCTTGTATGCCATTAAGGTTAAGGATCTCCCATGGTATGCCGACTTGGTGAACTTTCTAGCATGTGGGGAGTTTCCACCTTCTTTCTCCAAGAACCAAAAGAAGAAGCTTAAGAGGGAGGCAAGACATTACTTGTGGGATGAACCAATCTTGTATAAACGCGAGGTGGATGGCTTGCTTTGGCGTTGTGTCCCAAATGAAGAGGTGCCAAGTGTTCTAAATATGTGCCATTCAGATCCAAGTGGCGGTCATATGGGCGTTTCAAAAACCGCCACTAAGGTTCTTCAATGTGGTTTGTGGTGGCCGCATCTCTTCAAAGATTTGTGGGGATTTGTAAAGTCATGCGACCGATGTCAAAGGGTTGGGAATATCTTCAAGAGGAATGAGATGCCTCAACAGCCTATTCTTGAGTTAGAGGTGTTTGATGTTTGGGGAATTGACTTCATGGGACCATTCCCATCTTCATATGGTAATCAATTCATACTTGTGGCTGTGGACTATGTTTCTAAAGGGGTTGAGGCCATTGCCTCTCCTACTAATGACCACAAAGTAGTGTTGAAGTTGTTCACTAAAATCATCTTCCCAAGGTTTGGCGTGCCTAAGGCTATGATAAGCGATAACGGATCTCATTTTGTTCACAACGCCTTCCAAAAGATGTTGAGGAAACATGGAGTGCATCAACGATTCGGCCTCCCATATCATCCTCAATCGAGTGGCCAAGTCAAGGTCTCTAATCGTCAAATAAAGCTCATTCTTGAGAAGACGGTTGCAAGGAATAGAAAGGATTGGTCGGACAAGTTAGATGATGCTCTTTGGGCATATAGGACGGCTTTCAAGACACCTATTGGTACCACTCCATATCGTCTTGTCTATGGCAAGTCTTTCCATCTCCCGGTGGAGCTTGAACACCGTGCTATATGAGCAATCAAAAAGATAAACTTTGATTTAGAAAGTGCGGGGGAGAAAAGGTGGTTGGATCTTCATGAGCTAGAGGAGCTTAGACTTGATGCTTATGACTGTGCTAGCACCTACAAAGCTTGTTCCAAAGAAGCTCATGATAAGCTTATTGAGAAGAAGGAGTTTTTTGTGGGTGATAAAGTCCTCCTCTACCACTCGAGAATGAAGTTATTTCCCGGAAAGCTCATGTCAAAATGGAGTGGTCCTTTCTTGGTGAAAGATGTTTTTGCTAATGGCACCGTGGAGATTTCTCCTTTGGATTCCTCATCTTCTTTCTTGGTTAACGGTCATCGGCTTAAAAATATTTTGATGGAGTGTTTGTTGGTCTTATTCATAAAAATGATTCTTTTCAAACCACCTTGAGTGGGGTGGTAAACGTCAAGCTAACGACGTTAAACCAAAGCGCTTATGGGAGGCAACCCAGATTCTCACCTTTACTCTCTTTTCCTTCCTTTCTTTTATTTTTTGGTTTTTTGTTGATTTTTTTTGCTCTTACCCTTCCTTGTGTTTTTGGTTTGTTTTGTAGGGTGCCTTCATTCATCATATATGGAATAAATGTGTTTGTTGAGGGTGATAAGAGGTTTTAGAGTGTAGGGGACAGGGCACCCAGCGGGCTTGGAGAGGCCTTGGGTGCCCTTGCTTTCAACAAGTGGAAATCGGATCAGTAGCTCTCCGCGGGCTCTCCGCGGGCGCGGGTGCAATAGAGAGAGCGCAAGGTAAATTCAGAGAGGGCGCGGCTCATTTTCTCAAATTTGGATCAGAAACTCTCCGCGATCTCTCTGCGGGCGCGACAGTATTGGAGCGGGCACGGGAGAATTAGAGAGGGCGAGACCCTGGTCAGGTATGAAATTTCCGGATTTTTCTAGAAACTCTCTGCAGTTGCCCCGCGGTCTCTCTGTAGGCGCGGCAGTATTGGAGCGGGAGCGGCTTTGTCGAGAGAAGGCGCGGGGATCTGGGCTTTTAGTAGCCCGGTTCCTCTCTCTTTCTCTCTCTTCTCTTATTTTCCCTTTCACTCTTAATTTTCCCCATTCTCTCTCTTCCTCCTCTCAAACCCTAACCCCCAAATCATCTCTTTCACTCAATTTTACTCAAATTCACCCTTGTTTTCTCTTAAATTTCCATCCAAACTTCCTTTATACTCCATTTTCATCAAGTTTGCTCTTCTTTCTCGTGGTTTTCTTCCGGAATTTCGAGTCTACTCGGTTTTGTGCTTAATTTGAGTCTTTAATATTGGTATACTTCTCACCTTTGTTTTATTTTTGTCAATTTCAATTGATTTTTATGCATTGGTTGTGAGTGGCCTTGATTAAGCCTGAGTATGATGTTTTTGGTTGTTTGAATGGTGGTTTTGGAATTATTTTGGATGTTTTTGTGCTTCTTTTTGTGATAGATTGTTAATATTTTTGGTTGTTGTTGGATTTTTGGTTGTTTGTTGCTTGTAACAGGTACTTTGTAGTTTGTGGTGGTTTTGGGTGGTCTTGTGAACGGAGGTTTGTTCAGTTTGGTGGTAGTGTTGAATTTGGGTGTTTTTTTTTTTTTTTTTTTTTTTTTTTTTTGTGATTCATTGTGTTGGTTGAGCTTGAAAATATGGATTTGTTGAGGAGAGTTAAGAGTAGCAAGAGAAATTCAAACCAATCCCCCGGCCAATCCTCTCGTGGCCAACCTTCAAACACCGAACCCCCTCAAAACCAAACTACTCAAGATAATGCCCCACCTCCTCCTTTACCCGCTCTCAAATTTCATAACCGGGCTAAACACAACCCTATCTATAATTAAATGAAATCCCGGAAATTTAGACCGTCCCGCAACTATTTTCCCGAAGATATGGAAAAATTGGGTGTTGATGCCGATCTTAACATTTTGCTCCGTAATCTTGGTTTGGTTGAGTTTGTAAAGTCACCCCCCCGAACTTATTTGGAACCATGCATTGAATTTTTCTCCACCTTGGAGTTTAATATGACGGGGGATACCGACTATATCATCTCTTTTCAACTTTTCAATTCCAAGCATACCATGAACCTTGCGGAATTCAACAAAGCCCTTGGTTTCAACCCAAATACCGACATCTTTGAGCCCTTGGTTGCCCTTCACAAGACCGAATACAATGAGGTTGATTGGTGGAGAGCCATATCTATGAAGAAGTCGTTTGAATCTAAGGAATCGCTTGCTAGCGAGATCATTCACCCGGCTCTTCGTATTCTCCATCGGATTCTTGGGTATACAGTGTTTAGTAAGCAATATCTTGGGAAGCTTTCGAGGGAGTAGATCTTGGCGCTTTGGATGGCTACAAGGCCGGATTTAGGGCCAAAGTTGAATTTTGGGTATCTTTTCATAAAATGTTGTAAGTTGATCACCAATGGGAAGAAGACGGGTGAGATTCATTGTGGTGGTATGATTACTAGATTGATGCATTATTTCAAGTAAGAGCGTTTCTTGGGATCTTGCACTCCGATTGGAAAGAGTGAAGACATGTATTTGGATATGAAGAAACTTAACACCTTGCGCTTCATTTCTAAGACTAAGGGAAATGGTGGGTACTCTTGGCTAGTGCGTAATGTGCACCATTGTAGGCTCCCGAACCTAGTTGCCACCTTAATCACTCGAGAGGCTAGGATTGTTTGGAGGATTCCCGAGGATGACGGGAGGGTTGAGAATGTTATGGAGGAGGATGTTGGTGATGAGGACGATGATGATGATGATGATGGGCATGATGGTGAAGGTGAAGAAGGAGAAGGTGGTGAAGAAGAAGAAGATAATAAGAGCAACAACAACAACAACCGCAACAAAGAGGAAGAAGAAGACAACAACATCACTAACAAGACAACCAAAGAGATGCATATCTCCGTGAGATGGAGGCTATGCGTGAGCATATGGAGCGCATGCAATTGAGCATGCAAGGTATGTATTCAAACCATCAAACTTTGTCTTTTCAAACTAGCGCCCTATATGACGCTAGTGTGCGTAGGGGGGAGGTCACTCCTCTAGTGAACTACCCTTATGTGCCGCCCCAACAAGGGCCGGTGCCATCTTGGGGTGGTGACAACCTCCCCACGTACCCATATTGGCCCGGGGTTGTGAACCCCGATGAGCCAAGGCATGACTTCCCAGATGAGCCGGTCATTATGACTACCGGGTCTCGAGGGGGAGTGATTATCGGGGTGACCCCGACTACTACTATGTTCACCCCACTCACCCCGAGCTCTGTATGCAACCGGAGCCTTTTAGCCAATTATCCACATCTCAACTTGACCTTTTTAAGGGTCGCTATGGATTCCCTCCCGGTTATACCGGAGGTTGGGATGTGGATTATGGTGGTGCCGACCCTAGTGGCCAATAGTTTCCCCCTTGGTTGTTTGATTCCCTTTTTTTCCTCCCTTTTACCTTTGCATGTTTTTAGGCATCGCGGTCGATGCCCTTATATTGTACGGGGGGAATCAATTAGGATGTTTTTGGGGAGGCACCTTGGACTCTTGGGGATGTGTTTGAAAGGGCTTTGATGGATTTCTTTTGCTTCTCTCTTGGTAGTCTCGTTGGTTTGTTGTTTATCTTGTTGTCTTGGTTTTTGATGATGATGTTTTGTGGTCACTTCTATCGATGATGATGATGGTTTCTCTGGTTCTTTGTACATAGTTTTTGCGTAAGTTTACTTTTGTTTGGAAGTTACTAACAATTTCATTTTGTATATAGTCCTTTTCTTTTCTTTTTCTCACCTTGCTCATAGCCACTGCTTTGGTCTTCGAAGTTTCTTAGAGGAGGTCGTTCTTGCTCCTTTATTATTGCAGCATAGCTTGGACGCTTGGTGAGGCGTTTCTTGTTTTATCTCTTTACTTTTCTACCTTTACTCTTCTTGGTTGCTTAGATTAGGATTACTTTTAGGAGAGTTAAACGGTTCGAGGATATATGATTATAACACCTAGTGTGTTTTGGGTCTTTGGCGATGTGGCCATTTGACCGCTTGTTTGTCGATTGGGAAATACGTGTTATGATTGCATCTTTGTCCTTTTATTTGTTCTCCTACTTTTCCTTTATATTGGTTTTCCATATTTTCTTTTCTTTTCTTTTCTTTTCTTTTCTCTTCTTTTTGTACTTGGTTTTGTACATAGCTTTTTGAGGCTTTATTTTTCCACTCTTTCATTTTTTTTTGACTTGGATTTGTAAACAATGGACTTTTTCTTTTGGATAATAACCTTCCTAGATGGTCATGGTATGCTGGGTTTGAGAATACGTTTGGTTGATTCTAGGATAAAGCATGCTAGGGTAGTTTTCTAGAACTAGGGGGATCATGAAGCCGGATTCTACTTGTTTGTGGCATGTTGGTAGTTGCTCCCTATCTTCGATTTGACAACCTTAGTGAGTTTTTGCTACAACCATGTGAGATTCATACTTTTTCAAGCTTTCATCATATTCTTGCATGAGCGGCATGGATCCTTGAATTTCGCAAACTTAATCTTGAATCTTAACGTATGATTCCTAAGACCGAGACCGAACCACCTAGGGAGGACAAAGGCATCTTTTCGAGGAGGTATTTTTCCTTTTTCTAGGATAGTTTCCTTATTTTTACTTTTGGGTTTAGGGATACATTTGCCTACTTGCTAGCCCTTTGAACTTTTTTCCCTTCTTTTCAAACCACATGTTTAGAATTCTTGAGCCTTTTGTTTCATTTTCTTTTTCTCTTGGTTTTTGTGAAGCAATGGTCAATGTTGGAAGATTGTGGTGTATAAGTTTGGATTTTGATTCAAATTGGTGAACAAGGTTGAGTTGTTTATATTTGGAGAATAATGGCAAATGACTAAGTAAAAGCCATCCTAAATAAAACGGCAAGGACTAATGCTTTGATAAGGTAAAAAAAATTCAAAAAAAAAATTCAAAAAAATTAAAATAAAATCAGAAAAAAAACCCATAAAAATTCAAGTGTCTTTCTCCCTTTTATGCATTGAGGACAATCCTCCTTTTAGCTTGGGGGGAAAGCGTTTGCGCTTTTTGTTCTTATGATTGTAGATTGTTGCTTTGAATAAGCTTGAGGGTGTTAATATGTTTTTGTTTGGTGATTACTCGATTTTGGTGTTAAGATTTGGCCAATCTTTGCTTCACAATTTAGGTTAACCACCAAATTTTAAATTTAGCCTACCTTAACCCTTTTTGCCTTACGTTACAACCTTTGGGAAGACCTTTTGACCTAGGGGTTGAGTCATTCATCGGTGGAGGGAATCATGGGTTATAGCCTAAGGAAAGGGGATGCAAAGTCAAGATGTCGAGTAAGCCAAAAATTCGATCTTTTTCCGGTTCCTTCGTGGAATCTATGAGACGCTCACTAAGGGGAGATATGAGATTAGTAGGGGGAACGCGATAAGATCGTTTGGGAT